CCAAAATATAATAGATTTCTCGAAACAAACTTAAGTTTTTACTCATATTTCAAACTGAGTTTGACAATTTGAAACAGCTGATTTTTTTAACTCAACTGCATTTTTTAAAATAAAAAAGCCCAAACAACTTAAATAATCTATCCACCTATCTGAAACTGTCTACTATGTTTGAGTTTAACATTGATTTCAGTTCATTCTGGGAAATACATTTTCCTGCGTTTTCTCAAATTTGAGTAAAAACTCAAAGTCAAAACTCAGACTTAAGTTTGTTTCGAAATCGGGGTCTGGTCTGAGACCATAAAACCGCGCCTAGTACAAGTGAAAATCCAATGATGGTCCTCACTGACTAGTAGCATTTGAGTGTTAGAATTTCAACCAGTTCTCAATTGGTACAAATTGGAACAAACTGAATAACATTGATAGAAAATTAAAAAAAGGCAAAACAATTTCTTGTTCAATCAAGACTAGCTTCGAACTCTGATGGCTGGTGCAATAGGGTTTACACTAGTCTACAGGACTAGTCTCTGAAATGGCTAAAGACGGCTGAACACTATTGTAGGCCATCTACATCTTTCAGAAATAGCAATGGAATTTCATCCTGGGCTTCCTGTTCTCAATTGTGACAATCTATTTCAAGAAAGCAATTTTTTTACCTAAATCTCGATAGGGACAAAATCCTAGGATTCTACATTTCAGACTACCAGCTTGTTCCCTATCTGAAGACCTGCCTTCTTCTCATCACCAGTTTCAATCATCTAGCATCCTGAAGCTATATAAATAGGAACAGAGTTTTATTGTCATTATTTCTGCTACAAATGCAATATGTCAACCAATGAAATCAGTTGTCTGCATCCCAAAATAGCTGCATTTCTACACTATGTTACGGGAGGCCATCTGTTGAATGAAGGCGTAGGTGGCTGGCCAGTCAGAGTATTCTTATACATCTGCCCACCTGGAAGCTACCGTAATTGCTCTGTTGAGACACAAACTAAATTGGATCTAGCTTTATGTTAAGGTTTTACTGCTTTTTAAAGCTGGTTCACAATGCTGGCAGACAAAAAAAATCTGAAACAATGAAAAATATTACTTTGGACAAAAATAACTTAGACCATTTTTTAAACACACTATTTTATCACTGCAGTTTGTAAGAAATGGGGAACAGTGTGTTTAAAAATGGTCTTTTTAAACACCCCCAAAAAATGAAACCCCAATCAATTATTTAACAGTACTGTTTTGCAATCGTATTTCTGCGAAGATAATATGGAGTTGACAGTTGAATTTCAGGTCTAAAATGTTGTAAACCAACTACTAAACAAGAAGACAAAGTCATCAATATCCCCCACAATGGCAAAATACTCTTCATGATTATGTCTCACGAGTTATGATTATGTCAAATATTTAGGTGTGTATATAGAAAAGTGGAAAAATATAATAGATTTCTCAAACAAACTTAAGTTTTACTCATATTTCAAACTGAGTTTGACAATTTGAAACAGCTGATTTTTTTAACTCAACTGCATTTTTTAAAATAAAAAAGCCCAAACAACTTAAATAATCTATCCACCTATCTGAAACTGTCTACTATGTTTGAGTTTAACATTGATTTCAGTTCATTCTGGGAAATACATTTTCCTGCGTTTTCTCAAATTTGAGTAAAAACTCTAACTTAAGTCAAAACTCAGACTTAAGTTTGTTTCGAGAAAACGGGGACTGGTTTGAGACCATAAAACCGTGCCTAGTACAAGTGAAAATCCAATGATGGTCCTCACTGACTAGTAGCATTTGAGGGTTAGAATTCTCATCCAGTTCTCAATTCGTACAAATTGGAACAAACTGAATAACATTGATAGAAAATTTTAAAAAAGGCAAAACAATGTCTTGTTCAGTCAAGACTAGCTTCGAACTCTGATGGCTGGTGCAATAGGATTTACAATAGTCTACAGGACTAGTCTCTGAAATGGCTAAAGACGGCTGAACACTATTGTAGGCCATCTACATCTTTCAGAAATAGCAATGGAATTTCATCCTGGGCTTCCTGTTCTCAATTGTGACAATCTATTTCAAGAAAGCAATTTTTTTACCTAAATCTCGATAGGGACAAAATCCTAGGATTCTACATTTCAGACTACCAGCTTGTTCCCTATCTGAAGACCTGCCTTCTTCTCATCACCAGTTTCAATCATCTAGCATCCTGAAGCTATATAAATAGGAACAGAGTTTTATTGTCATTATTTCTGCTACAAATGCAATATGTCAACCAATGAAATCAGTTGTCTGCATCCCAAAATAGCTGCATTTCTACACTATGTTACGGAGGCCATCTGTTGAATGAAGGCGTAGGTGGCTGGCCAGTCAGAGTATTCTTATACATCTGCCCACCTGGAAGCTACCGTAATTGCTCTGTTGAGACACAAACTAAATTGGATCTAGCTTTATGTTAAGGTTTTACTGCTTTTTAAAGCTGGTTCACAATGCTGGCAGACAAAAAAAATCTGAAACAATGAAAAATATTACTTTGGACAAAAATAACTTAGACCATTTTTTAAACACACTATTTTATCACTGCAGTTTGTAAGAAATGGGGAACAGTGTGTTTAAAAATGGTCTTTTTAAACACCCCCAAAAAATGAAACCCCAATCAATTATTTAACAGTACTGTTTTGCAATCGTATTTCTGCGAGATAATATGGAGTTGACAGTTGAATTTCAGGTCTAAAATGTTGTAAACCAACTACTAAACAAGAAGACAAAGTCATCAATATCCCCCACAATGGCAAAATACTCTTCATGATTATGTCTACGAGTTATGATTATGTCAAATATTTAGGTGTGTATATAGAAAAGTGGAAGGAGAGTATTGAAAGGTTTTTAAAGTTCTGCTCCAGAAAGGAGCACTATCACCAATTTCAGTCTAAGTCAAACTTGTTGCCATGGAAATGCCAAAAATAGTTTATTCAGAAATCCAAAACTACCAAATGGCACCAGTACACCACCAGATCTATGTATGTGCCAAGTTTGGTGAAGAAACATTGAATGGTTTTAGAGTTCTTCTCCGGAAAAGAGCACTACCACCAATTTAAGTTTTAGTCAAACTTGTTGCCATGGAAATGCCAAAAATATTTTATTCAGAATTCCAAAACTACCAAAAGGCACCAGAACACCGCCAGACCAATCTATGTGCCAAGTTTGGTGAAGAAATAGTGGTGAAGAATGGTTTTAGAGTTCTGCTCTGGAAAAGAGCTCTACCACCAATTTCAGTCTAAGTCGAACTTGTTGCCATGGAAACGCCAAAAATATTTTATTCAGAATTCCCAAACTACCGAAAGGCACCAGTACACCACCAGATCAATGTATGTGCCAAGTTTGGTGAAGAAATATCGAACAGTGTTAGAGTTCTGCTCCGGAAAAGACCAATGTGCACGGACGGACGGACGGATATTTTAATACCCCCGCAAAACGCGTTGCGGGGGGATAACAAGCCAAAAAATGAGAGCAAGGCTCACCAATACCCCTGACTATGACTCACAACCTCCGTTGCACAACTGTTAATAATGATAATTCTTGATGTTAAAAGGACTACAAGGCCTACTGAAACATGTTTTTCTCAATACTGATTTTGCAAGGTACACCATAAAATCATGTTCAGGATATTTCCTCAACATCTTCCATATCATTACAAAATTCGTGAGTGAGTGAGTGAGTGAGTGAGTGAGTGAGTGAGTGTAGATTTATGCTGTTTTTAGCAATATTCCAGCAATATCACGGTGGGGGACACCAGAAATGGGCTTCACCCATTGTACCCATGTGGGGATTCGAACCTGAGTCTTCAGCGTGACGAGCGCACGTTTTAACCACTAGGCTACCCCACCGCCCCAAGAAAAATCCCTCCTTTGCCAGGTCAGGTAGACAAAAATTGTTTCTAAATCCCTCCTACATTTGTACAACATTTGCCAAACAGGTGAAAGTATTATTTTCCCTTTCCATTCCTATTAAACATGAGATATAGATAGGATTTTAAAAATCACAAAAATCTATTAATGTCCAGAATTAATCCTGCAAAGCACAAATAACAAAATATCTGTGTATCTCATACACAATTTAAATGTCATCTCTTATGAGATTAGGGCCACACACAACATTGTCATCAGGGGGAAATACAAAAATTAATTTTCATCAAAACAGTGGCATACCCATCTTTGGGGAGTCAAAAACATCAAATGCTAAGTGCAGACATGTTGACCCAATCTGGAGCCATTTTGCGTTTATCATTGTGAGATCTGATAGACTGTAAGTATGTGGCATGTGGAATAACATGCTACACATATATGTGTTCAGTTTCATTATTCATCCTGCTTGTTTAAGATAATAGTCACATGATCCTATTACTTGATAAACTATGGTAATATATGCTGATATCCCTTGTACGTCATTGCAGTTGTAGTGATCTTGGTTAACTGGTTGTAGACTAAGAAAAGTAGCTATTCGTGAATGGTATGAGACAAGAGTTAAAAACATACATGACAGGCAAGAACATTCGTTTACTATTGGACAGACACTGCCCATTTGATATCCTTACATGGATTTCAGTTAATAAAATAAGGACAGTTTCCTTTGTTGAGTTAAGTATAAATTTCTGATACCTGAATGTATTTATGATAAAAGTGTGTTCATACTTAGCCCAATATTATGAGATAGTGCATGGGCACTGTAGTTCACCTCCAAGCTTATTGATTTGATTTGATTGATTTTAAAATGCGAACATTTTTGTGTTTGTCATAACTGATGGCAGGACACCACTGCTAGTATGAAAAGTTTGATGTATGACATCATTATTTGTATGGCAAGTCTGAGGGCATGACATCACTATTGGTATGACATATCTGATGATGACATTGCTGGTAGGATAGGTTGGTTTCATCACATTGTTCTATTGTACAACATGTGTTGCTATGACAACATGTCCTTGTATCTATATTACACAAGGATGTCATATTTCCTACCTGTGAATACACTTGGCACTTTGGACATGAAGCTTTTGACGGTCCTGACTGGAACTCCTGTTGCTTCATCCTGCATCCGGTCAACTATTGCTTCCATCTGTAACACAAGAAGTATTCAAAATAATATTATTATTTACTTAATATTTATCTTTATACTTCCTATTAAAATTGATTGGTCTGGAAAGGGAAGTTACTTTTTGTTTAGCCAATCAAAGAAATACTTGCTGCCTTGGTTTTTGTTTTTGTTATTTATGTTTATAAATCTAACTTTGCATATTTCACATAAATTGATCAAACTGATCACTGAACACAAAAATGGAGAACAATTTGAAAAAAACAAACACATTTTCAATTATTTTCATAACCATGGTTTTCGAAAGGTAATCCCAGTCTAACAACATCAAAATAGTGTCAAATTTTAATAAAGGGCCTAGTTGTTTGAATCTTATCCGCATCATTTAACTAAACTCACTCACTCATTCACTTTCTATGAAGATAATCATCAGGTTTGCCTCATACTTACCTATAACATAATTTCACAATGAGACCCAAAAATATCTTCATAATGTCAAATCTAATATGGCTGCCATGGGCGATCATGTTTAAAATCAAATCATAATTAAGTGAGCATTTTGATTCAGAAAAGTTAGGTGAGCTAAAAAAACAGTAGACATTGGTCAATCATATGCAGCATTTTGACACACAGGTAAAAATAGAACGTTTTAATCTACTGAGGTGCAGACAACTAGATTTAGTCTCGACCAGTCGCTTATAGAACCAGGTGGAACAGTGAGCAAGTATGCAATCCCACTTGTCAATTACAGTCCAATGAATCAATGAAAACCTCCCTATTCAATGCCAATTGCAGTAATCAATGACAATCGCACTAATCAATGCTCAATCGCACTAATCAATCAGAATCATACTAGTACATGACAATCATACTAATTTAGCTATGATTAATAATAAGTCATCATGGATGGAGGCTTCTCACTATAGGTAAGGCTGTGGGTCCTGGTCCACAATCCACCATTACCAATCTCACTGTGGTGAGACTATGTTAAGGTATGGGAGTTATGATGATCCCAGCTCTCGGATCAATTATGGAATGGAGCTAAGGTTTGAATATAGAATACCCGCTGGTCTTTTATATAAAAATGCATTTAATCTTCTTTTTTTTAAAATTATATTTCATCTTTGAATTTCTATTCACATTTCTATTTTTGCATTCACTGTTTCAAATATAACTCTGTAGCCATGACACCACAGGGTTAAGGAGTGAATATATGATATCGTACATGAGCATGTGCTTGCCACAGAAAGTCATTTGTTCTAACTGTACCAGTGTATAACCGGAATGGGACAGTGTGCATTTTAATGGTCATATGGCACAGAGACAAATTTACGTTATGCATTGATCATACTGACACAATCACACATCAATCACAATGATTGAGGCAAATCATTGAACGTCTTAATTCTGGAAAATGTATAATCACAATTGTAAATACTTGAACCACATATGGATAAAACATTTACAGGTACAAAACATCATAGCTATATAGTACTATGTAATGTCTGTGTAATGAATGTGAGCCCCAATTATGACATACCGCTGTACGATGATAAGCAACATGATAACAACTCAGTCGCATCATGGTTTAATCAATATTAAGGCACTATTCAGAATTACATTTGCTGTAGACAAGATGACCTTACAAGGTATTCAAGGTCCTGTTTGTTTGATATATAACACAGTATACTTGACAATATGCTGCTATGATAGTTTATCTTATTCTATGCCCTCGAATATTGCCAGTACATACATGACAGTAATTCAAAATGGAACCATTTCACATCTTTATGTGGGCGCAATGATGAAAGTATCTTGACAAATTGGTGGATGGTATATGACAAAAGAGGATTTCTACATTATAATACTGCTTCTTTCATCAGTACATCAGTGACAGTACAGCCTAATGCAGTTGATCATGAAGTCTAACATTTTTGGATTCACATCAAGATTTTGCTTTCATAAGTCCAGAGAAATTCACAAAATCTTCAGGACAAACCGTATAATGATGCTAACTTCAGCAAGAGAAGATGAAACTGGATTAGCATCGTGAATACAGAATATGTTTACCCATCAGGCAACTGGAGATTCTCATCAATTTATAAGCTTTGCTATAAAGATTTATTGTACCAATGTAAACAACACAGAATTACCATTGGCAAATTACCTGTATCATTCAGATTTGTGTTCATTGAACTTCTGCCACTATGAGGTTAAACATACAATTATAGGAAATCCTAAAATTTGGGTTCTGGCAACAGTAATTGGTAAACAATACATTTGTAGCTAAAAATCTCTCTCATTAATGGAAGCAGGGAGTTCGTATACCGCCACAAACTGACCCAGAGCTTTGCCAGCCAGCCATCAATCCCCCGAACTGGCAGTGAATCCCCTAAAAGCTCTGTGGCTACATACATCAAAGGCACAGCAATCTGATGTGATTGAGGCAATTTCCTTGACTGTTTGGGTCATAGGCAGATATTTCTGTATTACATTCACACAGATTCACACAGGGTGGGTCATAGGCAGATATTTCCTTGGTGATGTATTATAGGCATAGGCAGATATTTCCTTGGTGATGTATTACATTCACACAGATTCACACAGGGTGGGTCATAGGCAGATATTTCCTTGGTGATGTATTACATTCACACAGATTCACACAGGGTGGGTCATAGGCAGATATTTCCTTGGTGATGTATTACATTCACACAGATTCACACAGGGTGGGTCATAGGCAGATATTTCCTTGGTGATGTATTACATTCACACAGATTCACACAGGGTGGGTCATAGGCAGATATTTCCTTGGTGATGTATTACATTCACACAGATTCACACACAGAGGTGGGTCATAGGCAGATATTTCCTTCACACAGTGATGTATATTTCCTTGGCGACATTCACACAGATTCACACAGTATTACATTCACACAGTGGGTCATAGGCAGATATTTCCTTGGTGATGTATTACATTCACACAGATTCACACAGAGTGGGTCATAGGCAGATATTTCCTTGGTGATGATGTATAGCTACCTTGGCATGTATTACATTCACACAGATTCACACAGAGTGGGTCATAGGCAGATATTTCCTTGGTGATGTATTACATTCACACAGGTGTATTACATTCACACAGATTCACACAGAGTAGGTCATAGGCAGATATTTCCTTGGTGATGTATTACATTCACACAGATTCACACAGGGTGGGTCATAGGTAGATATTTCCTTGGGGATGTATTACATTCACACAGATTCACACAGGGTGGGTCATAGGCAGATATTTCCTTGGTGATGTATTACATTCACACAGATTCACACAGGGTGGGTCATAGGCAGATATTTCGTTGGGGATGTATTACATTCACACAGATTCACACAGGGTGGGTCATAGGCAGATATTTCCTTGGTGATGTATTACATTCACACAGGGTAGGCCATGGGCAGATATTTCCTTGATGATGTATAACAGGTATGTCCACAGAGATATCTTACATTCACGTAGGTGTTTCCACAGTGTATTGTTACATTCACACAGGTGTTTCCCCAGTGGACTGTTACATTCACACAGGTGTTTCCACAGTGTATTCTTACATTCACACAGGTGTTTCCACAGTGTATTCTTACATTCACACAGGTGTTTCCAGTGCATTCTTACAATCACACAGGTATCTCTACAGTGTGTTCTTACATTCACACAGGTGTTTGAAAAGAGGTATCTTACATTCATGCAGGTGTTTCCACAGTGTATTCTTACGTTCACACAGGTGTTTTAATAGTGTATTGTTACATTCACACAGTTGTTTGAAAAGAGGTATCTTACATTCATGCAGGTGTTTCCACAGTGTATTCTTACGTTCACACAGGTGTTTTAACAGTGTATTGTTACATTCACACAGGTGTTTGAAAAGAGGTATCTTACATTCACATAAATGTCTTCACAGGGGTATGTTACATTCACACTGATTGATGTGGTTAATCTTTTCCCAATGGAGTCTTACATGCACGATGAAGCTTCTAGGGATTACTGGCCTCAGTATTCTGAAGATTGTCATCATCCAGGAAGAAATGTCTGTGATAGGCATCATTTAAGATTTGACGTCAAGATAAGCCTGACTCTAACGCATTTTAAATGAAATTCTGCTAAAAGTCACTCACTCACTCACAGAAAAGAAAATATTTGAGGCTTCATAAAATCTATTTCTTTGGCCATTCAAAATAAATGACACTTACAGAGCTGCTTCATAAGTAAGTTGCACATGCCATAAATTCTACTTATTCAAAGGAAATAGTGTTTCTTTCTGTTTGAACATTATCAGAAGTGTTCATTTGCATGCACAAAATACTAGTTACATCATTTCAGCTTTACTGAGGGTGTTTTCAGTCCAGAAATGATTGATCTGACCATAAAAAGCATGCCATAATTAAAATTGATGTGTTCATCACAACGAAAATTGCTGCATCATTTTTTCATCAAAAAAATATTTATAATATACAATCTTATTGTCAGTTGACTGTTTCAACATCCATCATATTTTTTGTAATAAGCAAATTAATCACATCTATCCATTATTGCCCATAGATTACCGAGAACTTTTTCCAGAAAATTATTTTTGCAGACTAAACTGGAAATATTCTTTGATCATAGTCTCATATAACAGACCCTGCTTTAATCGATTCCTATTTTGCTGTGTGTAGCAGTGAACAGTTGCAACATATTTCCATACATTGTGACAATGAAGCAACCAACTCTAAGACCATAAAGCACTTCATTGTGTACAGCGTCACCCAATAACCTAAATATTGACAAGCACACATAAGCAATTTGACAGAGAACCTTCGACGTTATTTTCTGTTACCATTGTCTTTCCAAAGGAAGTAAAACGTTACGTAAAAGATTGCACTGGCCAATCAATACACAGCAACAATGGTGATCAAAGTTAGCCTGAATGGCTGTAGTTCTGCACAGAATCCCTGGAGTTCAATCTATAGCGACCTTGGTCACCTCCCTGATGCCA